TCCACCTGGATTTCCAAAACTGCTTGAGCCCCCCTCCACTCAGGATTTCCAAGTTTAAAGACCCCCCCACCCATCTGGATTTCCATAAAATTGTTAGACACTGTGATTTTACTTTACATCCAATGTGGAAGAATCCTTTAAGACACTTAGATGATCTTTTTATTAAATAAGTCTCAATTTTCCGTGAATTCTGTGTTTGTTGTGAACGTTAAGATTCCATTTACACATCTTCTTAAACAGGCTTACACTTTTTGCAAATAAGCTCATAGTTGAGCGAACATCTTTTTTTTTCTAGAACAGGCAAAATATACAGCAATATGTACTACAATAAAGCTCAAAACTAACTATGTTCTCGAATAAATGGTTCTCCTCTTTGTCGATAAAAAATGACCGTGAAAGAAAGAAAGAAAAAGGACACTTAGCGCGATATTACATGATTCGCTGCACCACTTGCAACAACACTTGCCTTTCAAAATGGCCGCCTAACAATCACGAACAACCACCCTTACAAAATGTACTTGTAAGGCCTGTTTAGTGGTAAATCACCCTGAAATAGCATTAACGTTGGAAAAATGTATAATTCAAGGTAAAATCATTGTTTGCTTTACTTGAACTGAGCGCTTTTTTTTATGAATTATGCGATTTTTCTTAATATCTTCAAGTTATCGCACGTCACTTCTACGAAAGTAACGAGGGCGAGCCTATGGATGGACACTTAAAATAAATGTGGTAAGAGGCCTGTAGTTTGAAAGAATAATAAAATTTGAAAAGGCAAAGCAATTTTTTGAAAACTTATCAATTGTAGCAATTGAAACATCGATGAAATCAAAAGTTACCCCCGAGGATGCATTTTTAGGTTCAGAGCCCCCCTCATGTCTGAATTTCCAAAGGCGTTAACCCCCCCTCCCATGAGATTTTCCAGCATGCCTTCCGTCGTGGGGGTGTGGATTTTTTTGGAATAACCCATTGCAGGTAAGTCTTTTTTATTCATTTCATTTAAGAAAAAGTAAGGTTTAGCATTATTTAGCGTTCGCAGATCTGTGTAATATATTTCTCATACAAAGACTCTTATATTTTCAACGGTCGCCTGTAACGCGATACCGGCGCATCACCTATGGTATGTAAATTACATTACACCCTCCCCTCGTAACATGAGTTTGGGCCACCTGTGGGATAACTAATTGTTAAAAAGAAAGAGAAAAATAGATTGAAATCTGGTAGTTGTAGCCAAATGGCATAATTTGAAAATGCCATAATGTGCAGCACAAAGAAATTATCCAATGTTCAGTTTGAAAGGATGAACCTTTGCACTATTTGCAGCAAGCTAGGGCTGTCTCTGGTCCACAAAACAACAGGTGAAGGACTCAATCAATGTTCCCAACCCAAATATTAACAGAAGATGCACGTTATAGGGACTTGGGAAAAAGAAAAGAGGAAGAGCTACAATCTGAGCTGACCATCCTCAATAGATCTTTTCCTGACCCTACTGAGCACTCCTGACAGAAAATACAACTCCTTGGTGTTGGAGTTTGGATATGTCCTGGAACTGCACAAAGAATCAAAGACAGAAATTATTAACAAGAGCAGTTTCTAGAAACAACTTTAAAGCATACATTAAACTATTTCCTTCAAAAGAATACTCTGGCACCCACACACGCACATGCTGAACAACTTTTTTGAGTCTCAAGATATTTTCATGTCCATGCTGTGTTTATTCCCCTGGTACAAACCTTTTCAAAAATTAGGTCAATGGCACCTTCCAATCTCTCTGGAGTGTCAATATCCAGGTCAATAATCTGCTGGGTCAAAGTCTGGAACTTCTGAGGTGTCAGTTTGTTTAGAATACTTCTAACTTTGCGGAACAAATCCTAGAAAAAATGACAAAGATTGAGTAGCTGTATACTCCGCTAGAGTCCCAAGACACATTCTACATCATAAGATTTCAAGATAAAAATTACCTCTGTTTTCTGTTCCTCTTCACTTCCAGTTTTTGCAATTTCACCTTGTCTCACCCATCTGTTTTCTGTTCTCTTCAACTATTCACATTAAAGAATTCAGTATTAATCACTGTTTAAGCATTTGAAACTTTCGTGAATAAATAAATAAAAAACCTTTAATTCCCAAACATCCACCATAACATTGTAAGACAAGCTAGGGCACTCCTTCATTATCACAAGGAAATTACTGCATATTTACCTCAACCTGAGGTTGTACACTTGGAAAATCAATCACTTTTTTGGGTTGAGTATGCGTTTTGCGTCCACCTCTTGAACCAGACTGGTTATTCTAAAATCAAAGAGAGTTTTTTTAGTTTGGGCCTCTAAGCAAAGTTAACAAGGTGGAATAAAGACTGAGTTTCTAATCATATTGCTCGTAAACGGAAGGGGGCTAGTTTGTTTTATTGCTTTGTGGTTCTCATTTCATTATTTTCAAGTGCCCTACCACTTAATCTAGTCTTGGTTAAGTATCAAGGTAAGTAACAGTGACAGCAGAAGACTGACCGATATGCAATACACGTTAAGGATGAACAATAATACAAAGAGACTTGGGCAGGTGGTGGGCCTGCTCTGCTCCAATAGGGGCGCTGAAGTAACTTAGGATGGACTCCCAAAATAAACAAAAATCTTCATTTGCAGGCTCCAAAAGAAGGGCTGACTTTTAAATGCACACTAGTTCAACTTGTACACTGGAAAATAAGGTACCTGGGACTGAGAATTTTCTTCAAAAAACGTGTTTAATATTGAGTAACAGAGCATATACTGATATAGACCTCACTGTACAAAGTAATAAGTTATCTTTTAAGTAATTAGCCATTTTAACTTGAGATTGAGACCTTTTGCTACGATCTCTTGCATTATAAAAACTACCCAATGTAAGCAAGCAAATCTCAGAGGGGACGGAAAGCATGTATTTCACACAATATTGTACTCCCAATAATAAAAGCAACTTACCCTTGACTGCTGGCGCATAAATGAAGGGAGGAACATGTTTTCACCACCATCAGATTTTTGTATCCTACCACAAAAAAGTTCACATCACAAAATACTCAAAATATACTTTCACTTTATCTTAACTTTAATTTTCAAATGATTTATGAACACTTTGGAAATGCAGCAAACTGAGTAGAACATCTGGTTTTACTACCTGTTTTGTGAAAAGCCCGACCTTGAAGGGGTTCGGGCTTGACCAAGGACAACTTCTAAATCTGGTAGCCCCTCTGGTTTTATCTGGCATAAAGGATTGGTCTGGAATTGTAGCAGGAAATCTCGCTCATATGTGAGCTTTCCTCCTTCTGGGCGTGATGGTTCAGTTTCCCCATCAATTTCAGGGGACCAAGATTCTACAGGAAAGAAATGAAAAATGTAATCAAACAAGCCCAGAATTTGTTATAATAATTTCCCCAACTCCAATAACCCCTTTAGACCCTACTATAAACATGAAAGTTCTCCAAATAACTTTTCAAGGAGCGCTTACAATGAGAATTTGCTATTATAAAGATGGCAGGGCAGGAAATTTTAAATCCACTTGCCCAGCAGGCGAGTAAATTTCTGTTCTCACTCGCCCCCACTTAAATATTACTTACTGGCCAAAGGGAATACATCTATAGTTCTAAGGTACTGTCTATAATAAGTTATAGATTATAACAAAATGTACAAGATTACTGGTACTTAAATGCTGTGCCAGATACAGGGTAACTACTTGATTTAAACATTACAGTACGTGAGGGGAGTAACTCAAGCAAGCAAACATGCACTTAGATATAAATTGATTGATTGTGCAGGGTTCACAAATACACCAAATTTGGCGTATTTTATGCCAAAATTGTTCAGATGACTCCACAGGGGTTATGGAGGGAGTCACTTTGACTCCAGAAATTTTCTGTAACAAAAACAGTTTTGTCCTTACCTTTTTCGCAACATATACAATTTACGTTAATTGTAAACGTTGTAAACCTTAATAACATCATCAGAATTAAAGAATTATACCCTTGCACAACAAAACAAGAAGAGGGTAAATTACACTCAAAGTTTACTCGATGACCGCCAGGACCAGGTAAGTGTACACTTTTAAAGAGTGCGTTCCCACGACAAGTTCATAATATTTCTTGACTCAAAATTTGAAACTCAAAACTCGATCCTCGAGACATTAGACTCCATCCTCCAAAGTTTTGAGAATCGAGAATCAAGTCTTGAGTCTCGAGGTTTAAGACGAAAGTGACTGTTAACTAACTTTTGAGTGGTACCGTAAGAACAGAATTCACTAGCCCAGCAGCAACATCCACAAGTCCCAGGCTATCAGACACTACTTTCTTTGCACACCAAGACTCACAGATCCACTTGGGTAATTTAATGTAGTTTGAGGGGATTCGTCAGGTGAGGAGCCTATCACCTCAGAGCACTCAGAGCATCACAAACACCTCGAGCTTCTACCATTAGTTAGACTCTTTTTACTCAACACTTAAGTTTGCTGATTTCATCTGCCGTTTCTGGAAATCACCCTCTTTCCTGATTGGCTGAAAGCTTTAGAAGATATTCAAGTCTCAATTATAAATGAATGCTCAGGGTCATGATGGATTCCTATGAATGTCATTTTAATAATGTTTTACTACCTTCTTTATCTTCCCATGTCTCCTCTTCAGACTGCTCCTCTTCACCTGCTTCTTCTTGAGGTGTCTGTGTTGTTTCTTCAGTAGCTGGCTCTTCAATTTCACCAGGTGCCTATCCCATTCAAAACATAAATCACTCAAAATAATCTCATTCCTTCCTAGTTTCATTGATTTTAATCATAATTATGTAGTCCACGGCCGGGTTGCATAAAAACTTTCTTAAAAGAGGGCTCCTAGCTTTTGTTCTGAAACAATGACCTATTGTTTTGAAATAATAGTTACGGGTGCCATCCATCTCAAGATGTTTTTTTTTTTGGCAACCCAACCCAGGTTTTTAAAGTTTTTCAAATTCACCAACAAAACATGAGCTTGTAAGAGTGAGCACCAACAAACTTTCAGTTAAGCTCAGCTCAAGGTGGACAGAAGCTACCAAAATTTAAGACGAATAAAATCTGTTTAACACATTTTCTTTGACCCACTCAAACCTCAACTGCCTCTAAGGATCCACTTCCCATGTATTGTTTGAGACAGTATCAGTTTTTATAGTCATAGACAACTTTGACACCGACCTTAAACAGGGAGAAGGGATATATCAAAACATATTGGAGTGAGCACAATTCAGTCTAATGAGTAGAGAACACACAAAAAATGGAGAGTTGACCAGAATATTCCCATGAAAATCTCGTGCCACTCGTACTGTCTATTAATGATAATGGGGGACCCTTAGAATACTGTGTGGCATGAAATTTTTGCGGGTTCTAATTAAATTTCCAGCAATCCACAAAAATAAGTTCCCGCAAATAAAAATTACCGCAACCATTTTTCCCGCAAAAATTTACTCCAGAGTAAATTTTCTCTAACTTAAATTTGCTACACAAAATGTAGTACTAGGAAACTGTGTCTGTTAAATTACATAAGATACGGATACCGTAGTATTGTTTAAAAATATTATTTCTATTGCATGTACTTAACAAAAACGAAAATATTATCAATGCTGGGCACTGGGTACTTTCTGAAAATCGCTAAAATTAATTCCCAGCAAGAAAAAGCAGTCTGTTCTAAAGCTCTAAATAAGGATCAGGAACAGGAGTTAAAGAACCTTTTGGACAGTTTTGTTTCTTTTTTGGCAGCATAGTGACCAAAGAACATCCCAACTAGCTTCCAACAGAGCTTTTCACCACAATGAAAAAGATTTTTAGATGTAAAATCAATTCAAGAATTTTTCCAACACAATACATAATTCTTTTGCCAGGCTTAGCATTTTCAGAGAACCAGTTGGATAGTAACCTCTACAAATGCAGGAACCAAACTTTACTTGTGATGTACCACTGATGTACATTAATCACATTACAATACAAGACATCAGAGAGTTCTGAAAATTTTCACTTTGCGACCGAATGTCATTTTTGAAAAAGGAAAGAGAAAAATCCAAACTATTACAGTTTATTTTCTGGACACAGTTTATCCACATCTGGAACACCAGTTTGCAAATTTCAACACTTTTTTTTCTCAGGAATTCAATACTCAGCATGAACCCTGGGTAGAGATCAATAACTGGAGACAAAACAAGAGAATTTCTTTTTTCATGACAACAATATACCTCCTCCTGGGCCGGCTTTTCTGTGTAAGCTTCCATCAGATCCATTCCCTTCTCGGAGGATCGCTTTTCTATTTCCTTCAAACGATGTTTCTGTTTTTTCTTCTTCATATCTTTAGCTGCAATTATTTAAAAAAATGTAATGGTAGATTAATTACTAAGTTAATGGACACAAGAATAAAATCAAAGTAAGGTTACAAGTTACAAGTAGCAAGTTTCTGCAATAAATATTGCTACTTTTAGGAATGGACATTTTGAAGGAAATTATAAGATCCCTTGTTCAGGTTTTCAGAGACTGAGGCTGTCAGAAATCTTCAAAACTGACAGGCAACGGATAATCCCCTTTGAAGCAGGCAAATTATTTTTTTATTTTCATGAACCTTACTGTACAAATATGTATGAATGGACAAGTTGCAAAAGTATAACACCTACTGCCACTTTTAAAGTTTCATGAGGAAATACAAAACAAAATTTTAACTGACAAACAGATAAACTATAAACTGGCATACTGTAAAGTGAATTGCATATCAAATGTGATAAAATTAAGATTGATTTTAATTCTGTTCTAAACTTATGCACTGTTTCAAGTTAGTGTTATAGAAGATTTCAGTTTTAACAAGTAAGCTTACAAAGTTAAAGACTTCTCTATAATCTGGGTATGTTTCATGAAGCTTATAAATTACATTTCCAATTACTTGAGGAATGTACCGCATAGCGAGAAGACAGAGAGGAATTTGAAAACTGTCACTGAGGTAGCTGTGAAGCACATTAAAAGGCAATAAAACAATGCAGCTAAGTAGCTTTCAAAATGCAAACAGGAAGGTAAGCAAAACTAGACATTTTAAGGTCATCATATTTTAACAAAGCACACAACATATATTAATTACCACAGATGTCTGATACTGGTGCAACAACTTCCACAACCTGCTATCTCACACACTATCCTTCAAGCTACTATCACACTATTTTTCACTACCGATATAAATCAATGCAATACCTGACTGAAATTACTATCACCTTCACTTGCAAGAAAATAGCAATTAACTTACATCAGACCAAAGAGGAGAGAACCTCACCGAATAAACTCCAAAATGGCATTAACTGATTAGGATTTGAAGAAATGCACAAGTTCATGAGCCATTTTTCATGGTTGCATGACATTAACAGTTAATTATATGCACAATTGTGAAAAGTTTACTTATAGAGGTAGCTGATGTCAAATCTACAAAGGCAATTATTGCCAGCAAGCACAAGCAACCCTTAAAACTTGCCAAATGGATGAAGAAAACTCTGAGTCTTGCTAGGATATACACAGGAGAGCACAGAGCTGAAATATTGCGCAATTTTGAACATGAAATACTCAGCAAGGAATGTGATAACTCAATGACCTCAGGGTTAAATATAATGCAGGTATCGAATTTTTGGCTTGTGTATGAAGCCATGAAAGCAATATAACATTAATGATTAACAATACAGATTAAAAAGTAATTTTAATGAATAACATTGTACAAAGTACGCTTTACACCCTGTTATTTGCAGCCTTTCAAAACTTTACTTGCAATAAACTAGTTAAAAATTTTGAAAATTTGAGTTTAAACATTATCCCAACAAAAAAAACCCGAACAAGTATAAATAGCATTTTACAGCAGTAACTGTCATTATACAAATATGTTCCTCAAACCTCACTATGATACTTGCTCTATTTGATGCCCATACTGGGGCTAGCAGAACCAATTGATTGGATTAACCACTCAGGAAAAGCTAACTAACTGGTACAAACTACTTCCACGTGTTATGCTATTCATATATTTAACAGTTGCCTAATCTCAGTGGAAAGATGCTTGAGAAGAACTTTCCAGTTATACTGGTCATTAATCCACTGTACATCTTTTCAACGTATTAAAGTACCCGAGCACTTTCCTATAGTTTTACTAGACTGTTCACTTTACATTTTTAACTTTAGAGTTTTTGAATGAAATACTGTAGCAGTACATGACCACTTAAGTAATAACTTCTCATTAGTACTTCCATGCATATCTCTTTATTATGACATAACATCTGAGTCTGTGTGGCCATTTAAGTGAGAGATACCTTTACTTTCTTAATGATTGTTTTAGCAGAGGTCATACTTCTTGTGCTCTACTATGAAAACTAATTCAGCAATAAGAGATATCACTAATATCTATTCTAGCAAATTTCATTTTTTTTCCTGCAGGAAATGTACAGGTACATGTACTTCAACACATCTTTAAGGAAGTCTGGTTATTGTACACAAGAGATGAAATTTATATTCATGTAAATTTAGACACTAGCAGAAAGTTGACTTGATAATCTAATCCATCATAATTGATTAACAACTTATTATAAAACAACTAACTCAACTCAATACGGAAACCATTAAACAAGGTATTAGGCAATGAAACTTACTTGGCCCCTCAAAAGCTTTAGGAGTCTTTTTACGCCTACTCATCTTTTAAGGACACAAGGATAGAAATCTAACCACTATTTTAGTCAAACTAAATTTACATTCTTTACAACATTCTTGTTTCTGGGAATTGTACAACACACCCTGGGCCCGGTTTTCTAGGAATCAAACAATGCACTATTGTTGTGTTGAACTTGCAGTTATTGTAATATGAATAGAAGTCATAAATTATTAAACACAAAGCTCTCTGTCCCATAAACTTAACTTGTATCCACTTGCCAGAGAGCGATATGTGTTTTGGCCCAAAAGATTCCATACTGATATGATATGAATCAAATCAATGATGAAATAAATCATATGGTATTCATGAGGTCTCAGATGTAGAATTGTAAGAAGATTCATTTCTCCTAATCAATGTCCATTACATCTCACGTTCTGCTGCAATTACTGGCACAAGCAAAACAACTAAAATTCTTACAGAGAAAATTCATTCCTACTAAATATCTTCAGTGTGTTGTTGGATGTGTGTAGGGTATTGCTTGCTGTATGTGTTACAAAGTCTAAGTGCACTAGTACACAGCACTAAATCAGACAAAGCATGACAGACAAAGAATGTTTGTCTGGGCAGTGCACCTTCTTGGTGACCTCATTGGACATGCCATTTAGTCACGTTAAAATAGCCTTGTTTTGCACAACCAAACAGGAAGTAGACAATTTGTTTAGTAAAAGATTATACAGCTTCTGTGCATTTTTTCAAGAAATGTGTTGGACTTGGAGCTTCCCATGACTACATTTGATACTTCTTCATAATGAAAAGGAGGATATTATTTCTTTGACAAAAAAGACAGAAATGACGAATGTTAACCCACTTAATGCAGGCATCTTAAAAATTGCTGATAATAAGCCTCCTTTTCTTTCTCTTTCCATATTTTGATTATGGCAATAATTCAAATTATTTGCAAGTGGCCATTTCTAAAACTGTCATTCAAATTCAAGTTGACAAGCAATACCAGCAAATTATGTGATACATGCAGATTTTGCAGTTTGCCCTAGAAAAGTATAACAGAACAATCTTTACATTTGAAACATTTCTCAAACAACACCAGTTATTTTAAACAAATGTTAAGCCACCATCAAAATACTACATACTTTTAATGAAAAAAATGAGAGAGAAAGCCCAAGAACAATAACATGTACCTCATATATTATATCAATCAGTTTGAGCAGTAATATCAGTAATGTGTTTGAAGAGTGCTAATACTGACACTTATCTCTAAGCTCTACTGTTGTACTTGTTCTGACCTTGAAAAATGGTTTCTGTGAGTGTTCTAAATTAATTGTTTTAACTAGAATAGAGTGGATAATTTGAATAGAGAAATTGATCAACATAATTATGCCACCAAAGAAAACCCTACAATGGAAAAAAAGCATCATTCGATAGTCCAATCTGCAGTCCAGTTTCTGTTCCCCACATTGTAGAAAACTCCTTTCCAGCAATCTACTGTCAGCTGGGAATACACTGATTACAGCTGTATTCAGTGCTGAACCAATAAAAAGCCACTGAGGTTTGCGTCTATGCAACAAACCAATCATTTGTTTGTAGTTTGTGTATTGTTTTGTATTTCAAGGTCAAATAAAAATCGCTCTCTGGTAATTTATGAGTAGTCAGCGCCATCACTTAGATTTCATGATGCTACGTAAATACAACAAGCAGACAGGGGAATCAAAGAAATGGGGATTTCTTTTGGTTGTATTTACCCCACCCAGGGATCCTATTCATAGAAGCCGGGAGAAATCCCTCACCCCACCCAAGAGAGCCATGTGTACATAGCGCTCTTTTGCGAAGTAGCACACCATCGTTGATGATACCAACCTGTTGCTTGTGCATCAACAGTATTCCTGGGAGCAGCTGTAGCTGTCTTTAAATCTCCATCAAGACCATTCACCTTTTCACTTGCTACCGCATCTTCTACCTTTGAGGCTGTTGGCAAATCCTCTGATTCTTCAGTTTGTTGAGCTGATACTTCAGTCTCACTAACTTGTTGATCAACAGGTACCTCTACAGCGGATTCTGTGGGTTCAGTGGTCTCCACAACATTTGCCTGCACTGGTGGTGTATCAACTACAGGCTGACTCTCAACAGTTACAACTTCTTCTGTTTTGTCAGTCTCCTCATTGGTTAGTGCCACAGGTCCATTTAATGTCTTTGTCTCTGTGACAGGCATCACATCACTAACAGGTTCTTTTGCAGTTTCCTCTGATTTCTCTTGTCTTTCAGGTTTGACTTCGCCATCAGCAGCTAAGCTAATTTGTTGCGCTTCCTTCTTACGTAGTTCATCTGCAGTAAAGATCTCGACTCTGACATTAGGGATAATATCCTTAGCTGACGTAGTTGCATCCACAGAGCTAACCAAAGACACTGGGCATAATGAAATGTCTCCTGAAACTCCCTCACTAAGTTTTTCTTTAGGCTGCGTTTTCACAAGCACTTCTTTAGGCTCTGTTTCAAGAGGCTTTTCAACAGGCTTTTCAGCTACTTGGGTATCTATCCCAGTAGTAGGGTTCGTTCTTGTTTCTTTTACCACTTCATTTTTCTGTGTAGCTGTTGTCTCTTTTAATTGAACAGTATCTACAACTGCCTTATTATTTACTGGCGCTTTCTGAATAATAACTTCTGGTTTTTTAGGCTTGTCTTCTGAATTAACTAGTGTTGCTGCGACCTGCGCTGCAAACTGTGCCCTGACATTTGCCTCAGCTTGCTGCTGTAATGTCAAGGGTGGGGTGCTCGAGCTACTACTCTGACCTGAAATGTCTGGAGTAATGTTATTAGGGGTACCACCAGTGCTTCCTGTTAAACTCCCAGAAGGCTGTCGATTGAGAATCTCTTGTGTTACATCCTTGTTACTATTTGGATCCTTTATCTGGATTATTTTTCTTTCCCTTGTACGAGGCTCAAATGTTTGAGTTTGATATTGGGGCATTCCCGTCATGGGCCCTGGAGGAGCTCTAACAATGTACATAGGAGGGGTGGGCTGTCCCACCTGGTAAACAGGTGTCGGTTGAAAATAAGGAGAACCTTGAGGCTGTGAAGGACCAGACACTGGAGCAAATTGTCCTTGCATTGGTTGTTGAGGGCGGTGATACTGCATTTGCCCTGGGTTACCCATGGGAAGAGAGAAATCAACCTGCAAACCACAAAAAATTCTATTAGCTGACTATTTATAGCACACACACTATTAAATTTCAGAAACTTATGTTCGAACATATTATAATTAATGCTTTAAATCTCGCAAAAATTCATGTTACAAGGCAAAAAATATATGATTGCAGTGAAATTGCCTAACAAAATGGATCCATCAGAAATTTGGATGGAACAAGTATACTCCAAACTGAAAGTATGGGTTAGAAAAGAATCATTTATCACACTCACAGGTTGTGTCATAAATGGAGGGTGCTGTCCATGAGGCATAAATTGAGTTGTAGCAGGTGGACCAATCATCTGTACAGCCATAGGAGGACCTCCGGGGGGTGAAGAGTACATCGGCTGATTATTTTGGGGCTGATGCCGAGGAATTCTCATGGGTCGCTGGTTTGGGTAGAATGGCTGTTGATTTGGTAGGCGTGGCTGTCCTTGTGGAGGTCCAGGCATCTGCTGCATAACTAGGTTTTGATGAATCTGTCCTGGTGGCATCTGCAGTAATCAAGAGATGCTTAGCTAATTATCACATAATAAACTTGATTCTATGTGTAATAATCATTGTTGGGTTTCTAACATTGCCATCCATACCTTGTGTAACCTATAAGCAAAGTTATTTCTCTAGTAACCTGAGAATGCAGCTGACATTTTGCAACACTACCACTAGTTTCCCTACCAAATGATGTCTGACAATCCATACTGATGACATGTCACTACCCATATTAGGGTAGCACTTCTGATTGATGGAAGCACATTTCCCACCTGCCAAGACTAATCAAAAGCACTACCCAGATCTAGGCACTGATGCTTCATTAGTATGGAATTTCTGCACTTGTTTCTCAGGCATCATTTTGTGGGGAAAAACAGTAGTGGAGTCACAAAATGTTGGCTGTTTTCTCAGGCTATCACTCTAGCTACTTCGCGTGTACTTCTGTAACTCCTTCACCCCTGAACCACCCATAACCGCCTGTGCAGATCCACGTCTGTTCTACTACCTGTGAAGTCATCAGCTTTAATTGTCAAGGACAACTTTGTCATCTAACTTGTGCAGGGTGACAAAGCACAAGTCAGTCAAAGAGGAAAAGGCAATAAACCGTGTAATGTTGACTAGAAAATTTCCATGAAAATCTTGTCGTACTACCCATTTACCTTTCCTTTCATCTAACCCTGAGATCCTAAAAATTTTCCCCAAAACTTTTCCCACCAAAATGAAGCCTAGTAAATGCCTACTAAATGAGACAAGAAAAGTGAAAAAAGAGGGGAGGAGAAAAGGTGAAAAGAAAATGTCAATACTGCTGTATCATTTTTAAATCCTATCTTCAAATTTTTGCTCTCTGTGCACGCCCGAACTTAACATTTCGCATCTGGATCAGAGGGCTACGAATTGTATAACTTTCAACTCTTTACAGCCAGACAGTGACCAGAAAACCTCTCAAATAGCATGAAAACGCATTTTCAGCAAAATTTCCAGGAGTGAATGGGTTAACACATTCGAAATTGTACAATTTTTTATTGTTTTCCACATGTTTCCAAAAATTTGTGATCTCCATGACTTCAGGGCACGGTACCAAAAAAGTGTTTCCCTAGCATGTCATTATTCTATGAAGGAGGCATAGGATTAAAATTTACCCTCTTAAAACTTTTATGCCTTTGAGTTGTTAAGTTGTTCACAACTACCGGTACCCTTTATGATTAAGTAAAAGTCATTGATGGCTGACTATGTCCTGGAGTATTGTAGTTGTTGATAACATGTTGATAACAAATAATGTCTGCCAAGAACTTGGAAACTAAGATTCATTGTGCATGGTTGTAATGAATGTAAATCAAAATGGCAGCGTCCAGGAGAAACACTGGTAGTCAAAAGAGTCGATTTTCAAACTTGAGAAAGGGAAGATATTACCTACATACTAGAAATAAGCTACTGCAAAAAAACCTCGCAAGGATGTAAAGGGTCAGGAGCGGGAATAAAGGGAAACAAGCCAAAGGGAAAACTATGATCAAAAAAGAGGGCATGGGGAATAAATACTTGTTAAAGTGAGTTTTTTCACAAAAACTTGCTTTTCACAACAAGATGTGCCAATAATGGCAAGATTATCATCAGCATGAGCTTCCAGTGCTGTGTTGATACTTCAAAGAAAATAATCTTTTTTGTGTAATTTATTCACCACCTACCTCGAACCATTTATGTTTGCAGAAAAGAACACTGACCACTAACAACGAAGATACAATCAATTACCATAGTTGTCGAAAAGTAAACTATAAATCTCCACACACTAGTATTCCGTAGTTTTTTGCTTATAAGGCGCAGCATTTTTTCAATGAAAGTTTGGTTGATAGCTTTAAATCTGTTGTAATTTTGGGGTGAGTCTTGTAACCAAGTATCCTCGGGCAACGAAACAAAATTGAGTCAAGTTTTTGACTGTAAAAGCTCTAGCTGCTCATCCTCTTCTTTATAAGTGGTTATTAATGACTTCTACATCTTCTAAAGCTGGTATTAAACAACGAACGAATCATTTTTCATTCAAAACAAATCATCTAGCATCAATTATTTTGAACTGAATGTTTATGCTTGGTAACCAGGCAAACTTTTGAGCAAGTGCTTGACCCAAGATGGCGGTTTGTTTACAGTCATTTCTACACTGCAATCTTACACTTGTTTCACATTTATTCTCCAAGGAAAGCTCCCAAATCTGTTAATAAAACTGTAATAGCTCTTTATCACAATTAGTTTGATAAACAAGGGCTTAATCTTATCAGATTTGGCAGTTAATTCACAAAATATTCAGGCTCGTGTATTACGCGATATGGTGACCTTTTTTGCTTTTGTTCACATAGGTGAATGGCCGTAAAAAAGTGTTGTTGGAAAGCGTGTTGTTGTAGTTGAGGTGAACATCCCCAAAACTCGCAAACACTGGCTTAATTTTCAGTTTTAACTCAGAAAAATTGCGTTGTCGACGACTTAAAAGTAAGCGTAGTTGTTGAGAACTAAATGTCTAGTCTGTGGAGGCCCTTAGCTAACTGTTTAAGGAGGGGGGGGCATTTAATTGATCATATTCCAGAATACAAATACCCAGAAATTTGGGAGAAATCTCTTCAACCACAAATGTTTTGACCACTGAAATGCTTCAACTATCTTTATTATTTTAATGTCTACCTGGTATCTGGACTTTACATGCAATGGAAGTCAAAATATAAGTGATTTTTAGAGTTTATTCTGTATATTCTAATTCCAGAATATGGTCAATTGAACTCACCCTTAATCTCCTGTAACATCAATTGAGCTCATCTATAACAGGTGCTACATGTTAATGTACTTAATGACAGCCCCTGGTGTGTACCTCTCATAAGACCTCTTGAGTGAATCACACACATTAGCTTACTGACTTTCACAGTTCTCAAGAAAATTATAATGCCTTACTGATGTCTTTAAATGCTCGACTCTTAGGCTGAACAGCAGAAAGCTCATGCCCAACTTAAAACACCCTGTGACATGCCTCGGGTCCCACAACAGGTGACCTCAATGGCCATTGAAGTGCTTCTCGTCATCTTTAACCCTACAACTAGCCTGAACAGGGGTTTCAATAAACACAGAAGGCCGACGAAACGCGTCAACTACTTTACTCATAGAGGTCCGCTACTTTTTCTAGAAAGAAGAGGCAACTAGTTTGAATAACGTAGTAGACAAAAAATATATCATAAAATCTGAATGAAAACGTAACAGACCTTGTTACAGTTTTTGACGCCATCTTGACAAGTAGGCAAACGCGTGAAAAATTACAGTGTTTGCATGAGAATCTAATGTCGAATAATTTCTGTACAACAACTGTTCTGAAAAAAACACGAATTGTAAACTTAAGCTTCACTCCTAAGGATTCTACTGAAAAAAATTCAGGACGTTATATGCCCTAAAAGACCTAAAACCAGTTTTTTGAATTTTCTATACATTTGCCGGTAAGAAAGTCGCAGGAAAAATTACAGACAAATATATGGATAATCTAAAGCAAGCCTCTGGAGAAATTTAAGCACAGTTATGTCCCCCCATTTTTTTTGTACAATCCTTAATTTTAGCTTTAGTTCACAAGTCATATTTTTTTCTGAACAGCCGTTTTATGGAAATAATTTGTCATTAGATTCTCATACAAGCACTGTAATTTCTCACTCCTTTGCCTACTCATCAAGATGGTGTCGAAAACTGTGATAAGGTCTATTATGATGTGTTTACATAAAGGCCCACTGGTTTTGCACAATGCCTTCATGTGAATGCTTTATTTCAGTCATTTTTTCACAAGTTTCTTTACAGGTTTACTGAGAATTTGTTTACATGCAAAAGTACATGATTCAGTTTTCATCATTTGTTTATTGCTTGTAGGAATTGATTGTGTGACCGATAAATTGAATGAAAAACATGCTCTTCTGTCCTCAAATCTAGCCCCTAGAATGCATTTTAGGGCTTTGAAATTTCAAAATTTTCTAGGGCATAATGCACCCAGACCCCCCCCCCCCCCCCAGAAAAGGGGGCACACCCCCCCGCGGGTTCCCCCCCCCTTTCAAAACTCTCCGGGTCTCCTTTTTTTTTTAAAAACCCCCCCCAAAAAAAAACACCCTTTTGTTCCCCCCTCCCCCCCCCACCACCCCCCCCCGCGAAACACCCCACCTCGCCACGAGAGAGCATTTTTTCCATGTAAAAGCGGGACTGCAAGTTGGGGATGTTTTTGGGGTTCAGCGGTTGGCTTTTCCGTTCCTTGCCCTCAAATCACCCCCCTAAAAGGATTTTTGGGGTTTTGAAATTTTAAAATTTTTTAGGGAAAAAACCCCCCCCCCCCCCCCCCCCCCCCAGAGAAAGGGGACCAACGGCTCAGTCGGTTACCCACTCTATTCAAACCTGCTGGCGACTTCAATTTTTATTGAAATCCCTGCCTGAAAACACAGCCTGCTTTCCTCGCTCCTTGCCGCCCAGACACACCTCCTGGCGAAACATCCCTAGCTAGCGATGAGGAGCAAGGAGAGATGGTAAGAGTAAGAAAGTGTACCTTGCTTAGTTTTCTTTGCTGATATTTTTTTGCTAACAAGAACTCTAAATGAAAAATTGCTTTACAACAACAACGCAAAGAAAACTTGGCTATGAGAAATTTGGGGGGAAAGGCTAATTTAACAATGTAATAGAAGGAAAGAATACAAAGTTACAACACTCCCCACATCTAGTAAATACTGTTGGCTGATCCATTTTTGAGGTACAACAAATCACATCTTCTTACTTCTTACATCTTATTTACTTTGGGAAAACATGTTTTTTTCCTCTGTCTAGCTGAAGGTGAGTGTAATGGCTAACTAATTAATGAAAAGATAACCTAGCTAACCTTCACGTCAAAGTTCCAAGCCCCTTGTGAAAGAGAGCGAATAAAAACATTAAAAGCAAAAGCGATCGATTTGAATTTATCTTTGTCTGTAGCTGTATGCAAAAATACTTTGCTCTTTGTTCAAGGCATATACATGTACAATATGTTGATTAATAATATGATGACAAACATGAAATGGTTGATCGAAAGTGAAAGCAAATTGCTATGTAAGCTTATTTAGAAATCCCGAAAAGGGATTCCCAATAACACTTCAAAGTAACAGTTTCGGCAGTTTCACTTTCACAAAAGTACTTCCCTCTCCACTGAAAATAAACCCTGATCTTTTTATCTATTCTACCACCAGTATATCGCCCCACCCCCGTTTGCTACAAACCAGTCGATTGAGAAAATTCAACAGTTCGTTCAATTACCACGTGAAAAGGATTGAAAAATAATTGAGGGGACAGAGCAAAGCACAAAACTGCACGAAAAAAGACAACTTTGTTTGACAAACAGGGCTGTATTTAGCGCCAAAATCAGTTCCCTGTGAAGACTGTGAAGAGCAAGAACTCTGATCTCGTTGATTCTAAGAAAACGATCATTTAAAAAAACTAGCACGAAGCGAATTTGAACAGCGTTGAAACCAGCAATCAAGACTAAAAACAGATACTATTGCAAAGTCCCATTTCCCCGCAATATCTTTTATTATCCGTTCATCTACACAATGTACAAATATCCTAGATGATCTTTCTACGGAAAACAAAGGCTACTACTTTAGCGGAAGTAGCACAAACGTTCATATTTCCTAAAACAATCAACTGAGCGAGAAGTTTAGTTAGCTTTCTGAGAGTATCGCGTATATCGTACACTTGAGCTTACCAGTACGCTTTATAGCAAAATTTGCAGTCCTTGGAAACGAAACAAAACATCTGTAAATAGAAATTCATTCATCACGACGAAGGGAGAGTTTGTTACGCAACAAGAAGTCACAGAATTCCACGAGACACGAGAACACCAGCATCAAATCAAGCCTTCGACGACTCGACATAAACAACGCGCAGTTCGAGAGAACTTAAACAGTGATTTTACCTGGTAAGGCTGTGCTTGTCTTGGATTAAAATCGTCTGATCCTAAAGGCAAAAAAGAAAAAAAATTAATGGCGTTTTGAAATTAATTCACGGAAACCCATGTTTTTTTCGTACAAGCGTCAGCAGTTTTCCCCGATCGCGTTCAACTCCATGTCTAGATCTGTTTTTCAAAATTAAGAAACAGGAGAGAATCAACACTTACTTTGTTGTGAAGGCGGCGGTCCACGAGCATTTCTAAGATCAAAGAGTCAAAGAATATAACCCACAAACTTGTTCGGGAAATGTACAACACAAAGACTCACATACAATTTAGATGGATCAAATCTAGTTCACTTTCAGTTACAATTAACAGATCTCACGAAAGTCTTCAAAGATATTACAACAAGGATACTGCTGTGGTGCCCTGGTTTGAAGAATCATAGCAGGCGGGGAAGCAGCAGCTTTCCCCTTCTGCATTTTGGCGCAAGCGTTCTTACGCTAGCGACAAATGAAGCTTCTCACGAAGGTCTTCCGTTGCTTTGGACTATGAATTTGAAAACAGTTCAAAAACACAAAACAAAGAGTAACAACGTATTTTCAGATGATTAACGCTGTCTTCCTTATCTTCTGGTTTCTTGATGATGTTTAAAACGGGTAGATTAGAATGGATAAAAACTTTTTCAATTCAACATGGCTGCTCTTCGGCGAGAAGCCGCAGAGAAATCCGGTAGTGGTGACGTCATGTTAACAAGAACACGCCACGTGATCTGCACATGGAGAAATTTTCAAATTTTCCCGCGAAAATCATCACTTGTATGCCGTGTCGTGAAGATAAAAGTACAGAAATTAATCATACGAAAAAGGAACTTTAGTCAAAAGTAATTTTTTTTTACCGTTTGATATTGATTAATTTATTGTTTCAAAACAGCTTACATATACGAGCCCCCCTTTTAAAAGCACTGAATATTATGATCTTCACTTCATCAGCAAAGCAACATCCCCCAACTTTCTCTCTTGAACCAGAGGCGTTGTAGCCTCCTGGGTTCGTAGTCTGCCATGCAGAACAAGGAAAAGTGGGGCGGAACACTTTTTCAGCAGGGAAGGTGGGGCGATGACTAGTGTCTTGAAGTGATGAGGCTGAGGAGACTCTCCTCTTCGTAAGTCTTTATTTTTTTGGAAAAAGTTCTTCCCCCAGCTCCACCGTCCCTACATTTTTTTACGTCAAATGAAGCCCAGTGATGGATTCAGAAAATTCAGAGAGAAGGGCAGGGAGGTTTTTCAGCCATTTATTTATTTACAGTCGATTCCCGATAACTAGAACCTTCAAGGGAAATCGAAAAAGCTTGAGTTATCGGGTGTTCAAAAGCCGAATAACCGGAAATAATAAGGAAATAAGCAATGAATGGGGAGGGAATTCAATTAAGCAACAAAGTACACAGGGATGAACACTGAACTTGAACTGGAGCGACAAAAATAATAAAGACAAAGAATTGACACGGTTGTTTTAAAACAGATTCAATGTTTCGGGCTTCAGTACATGTTTTTTTCCCCGACTTGTCACGCGCTTGTAACATGGTTGGAGTTATCCAGGGTAAAATTATATAGAAATGATCTAAAGGGAAACAAAAACTACGAACTCCCCCTTTTTCCCTCAGGGACACGTAGAGCAAGCATTTTTTTTACGCGGGCCGGCGTGCGCTGCTCGCTCTATTATCCCTCTGAACTACTTGTCGTCTAAAATAGTAATATGCTGGACGGAGAGGAATCGAATAGAATGTGGTGGATTGGAGGACAACAAGAGACTGCTTTGAGGCATACAATCGCGAAATGGTGTTCCAAACAAACGATCAGAATGTGGGGACGCGCGTCCCAGGAATTAGACTTCCGTTAACTTACAACCTCTAAAAAAAACTTTAGTGAAATCTAACGCCCTAAGATTCCCCCGGTCTGTCCCATTTTTCTCCCCTGAACTAAACTATTCTATAAGCACTCAGAAATAAACAAACATTACAAATCTCTAATTCAATCAGTTTGTGTAAATTTTTAGTTGACTTATGAGTAATAAGTATTTCTACTTTTATTTTATGAGCTGGCAGTCTGAAAGGTTACCGAGGAAATTTCTGCGCAATTCGATGCCTATTTATTCTCATTAAGTTACAGGTTTATTCTAGCCTGCGTCGAAGACATTCTAAATCCCCGATATATCGAGCTCTTTCCTAGTTTTGGTCTCGAGCGACAAGTCCGGCTGCAACGAACGCTGGTTATACTCTGTTCTGAACCAGAGGAGGAAAGAATAGTATCCCACAATGCAATGTAATGTAGAGCCTCAGTGCAGCGGGAACACGGATGTTTTGAAATTTTCGGTTCTGGGTAATCTGACATGCGCTCAGGAAACTCGATGATTACGTATTGCGTGGTGAACGCGAACATTTTATTCACGCTCATCCAATTGGATAATTCCAAACACCGCTCACGCGCAATCAGTAGACTATCTGAGGGTAGGAAGATGCATGTATGGTCATGCAATATTGATTACCCGGATCCCCTGAGTCTATGTTAGCGTTCACCGTGCAACGCGTAGGTCAGTCCTGGAGGTTCCTCAGCACATGTCAGATTACCAGAACCGAAGACTTTCCAAAAATTATCCCACAAAAAACAAATCGTAATACTTGTTGATGAGGGAAAGAGATAAGAGACTCACCTGGCCTAAAAGGATTTGGCGCTTTCATGGCGAATCGGTGCGCGGTTCTTTGATGCGGGAGCGATTCGTGAGATGAGACTGCACACAGTAACCTACTTTGCTTCGCATTTTTGTAGGAAAAAACACCGTAAAAACAAAGAGCAGCAAAACCGTTTAAAATGGCCATGAATTGAGCCCAGGTCACACAGAAAAAGTAACAACAAACCCAAGTTTGAAGTTAGTGAAGTTTATTTCTATATTTATGCTTATATTTCTGCGTTTTAACAACTATATTAAATTTTTCAAACAAAGTCTAAAAATCGTTCGTAATATGCGAACACGCGGTAATTTTATGCACCTAGCTTTGGTCGCCTGTGCGAAGGCCACACTAACAACCCTTCATTCTTTACGTCTGCACTGCACAGTTACTCGCTTTTATTATTTAAACGGCTATCCGTGATTTGATATTACAGTGAGTTGGACACTTAAGACTCAAGGATTCTATTCAAGAAAGTCGACCACAACTGTATCCATTGGTTAAATTATCAATATCCGACTGTCACGTGGACCTGTTATTTTCAATCCCTTCACTTGGTTCCTTTCCTCCTACCACCATTCATTCTGTCGGCCAGCCAGTGTTTGTTGTTTGGCACTCGGGTACCTGTCAGTAACTGTTCGTGCTATGCTAAGGTTGTGAATTGTTCTCATATTTGTTGCCTTCAGTTACGTCTATAGTCGGCAGTGGTACCGAGTCAAAAAGTCAGAGAAAAGAAATAAAGGAAAGGTAGGAAAGAGGAGCAAATTGAGGGAAAAGCAATGGTTATTCAAGAAGCTAATTCAAATTTCAACGCAAAGATGAATTTTTTCAAACAGACCGTTAAGACAAATTTATTATGGAGTTTGGTACGAGGGGTGGATTATAGGATTGTTTGTCGTGATGAAGGATGTACTCTGCTGTAATGGAATTGAACTCATTGACATAGTCGAAGCCACTCCCCCACCCCTCCCCCTCGACCGTCAAAGAAAGCACAATACATTACTTCTAGTATGCAAATAGGCTCCCGACTCCTACCCCTCCACGTCGCCCTTTCCTGCATTCTTTTCACGCTAGATCCACCAAGAGGGGCTATGATTTTTTAAACAGTTCCCCGAAGCCTCATGAAAATGTGAAAATGTTCCTGAGTGCAGTGATTACATACCTGGGTCTTGAAGAGTCTTGGAAGTCATCTTGTCTTGAACGCGTAGTCTATATTACCGCCTCTGCTCTCATAAAATTCCTGTTACCCTTGGTCTTGTTCTTGTACTACTCTAGATCTGAAAATACACACTTAAAGTAATATCATTAAAAAATCTTTAAAAATATAGATTATAACAAATTTCCAAAAAAAATTGGTGGCAACGAGTGCAAAACGAACGCAACTGCTGTCATTGCTATCGCCATCGATTGCTCGACGATAATAGCAACGACATTTTCTATAGAACAGTTGCGCAAAGCCACATCCCTACGGATAAAAAATAATAATAATGATGATGATTATTATTGGCAGGGCGGTAATATAATAAGCCATATCGACAACAGTTGTCGAGTTAACGATTACCGTGCCGATAGAAGGAAGGAAAAAACTAGAGAGCTTGAAGTAACCGGGCACTTATCGATCTAACGACAACAGTGTCATACAGGGGATAAACGCCCTCTATTGAAACTGAACCGAAAAAACGATAGTGTTACCGGTGTCTACAACAGAGAATTAAGAAATAATAATAATAATAATCATTATAAATAGTCTAAGTAATCTGCTCCTGTCTATTCTAAAATTTATTTAAAAAGACACCCACACAAACAGCTGACACACAACAGAGGCATAGCGGCTAACCCCTCCACGAGGGAGGGGTCAGATGTGGGTTGGGCGGGGTCGCTACTCCCCGAGAGGCGAATGTGACGTTGCTCCACGCAGACTCCGTGGCGCCACCACCTCACCCTGCCCTTGTGAGAGGGCCTGGGTAGTACATTTTTTACTGTAAGTTATGTTTGCATCTTTGTCTGTCTGTTGTTAGAGTGACTGTCAAGTTCTTCTACCCAGACCCCGAGCTAAGAAATAAATTATAATTATTGGACGATACAAAAAGAAACTAATATACTGTCACCAGCCCTTGAAATTTTGGTCTTGTCTTGGTCTTGATCTTGTGCACTCGTTACCTTTGAAAACTGAATTACAGAGAAGAAACCGCGAAATTAGTGACACGACACAGCGATAAAACAGAAAAATGGTAAAGAAATGGAGAAATGGTAAAGCAACGATTAAGAGGAAGCAGAAACGAAGAAGAGATAGGAATAGAGAATAAGCTATGATGTCAGACGTCAAACCTCGTCCTCACAGGGGTGGGGTACGAGGTTTCGTTTTTTCTGTTCCTCGACTCAGTTTAGTTGCAAGTTGCTATGTGTTTTTGTAAGGTTCAGGTAATTCAGTCTTTCGTCTGTTAAATTTGAAGATTTTTGTCAGATTTGATCTGTTCCATTGCTCTATTTGTTTCCATGCATACACATTATTTCGCAAACGATTGATATCCGAGTCTGGTTTGACTATGATTGTGCTTCACCAGCTGTCAAGCCAACCTAAAGAAGAGACAAGAGTATTATTGTTGGTTTTCAGTTGGGCGCACAAGAAAAACAATATGCTTGCTTTACTCCGCAACACGTACACAGATTAGCTATTCATCTTTCAAAAACATAGAGACACACCTGAGCTGACACCCTGCAACCGAATTCACATCCTGACAGGAATTATGATCACAGCAC